ATTTGTGTATTGGTTTAATACATTTTTTTGTTCTTTAACTTAATTTCATATTTCACTTTAGTCTCTTATTTAATAAATGTTTGTTTTTAATCCCTTAAATGTCATTCGGTTAATCACATTGGTCATGTTCGTCAAGTTTTGTCAAAATCTGTTAGTTATGTATATGTGACACTTTAGCTGACTATGTTTAGATGACATGGAATTATTTTATTTGATATTAAATATTTCTTTCATTAATGAGAAATTTGTAAAATAATTAATTTCTTTCAATTTTCATTAATCATCATTTTTCAATAAATTCCTTTCATCCGCCAAACAAAACTCACCACCAAACCTACTTTTCTCTTATCTTCTCTAAACCAAATCTTCATAAATTCATACTTCAATCAATCATGTCTTCTCCTCACATCTTCAATAGATAATTTCGCTCTTCATTTTTTTTCAGATATGTAATTTTTGAGTAAACAAACACAACACAAGAACCTTAAACTCTTAATCACCACTAGAAAAGGATCCAATCACCGTCTTCCTCCACAACCACCACTCCGTGATTTTTTTCCTATTGATTTTCACTTACAACGAAGACAACTCCTTCAACAACTTTGATCCAAACCATAAAATCGGCGACGGGGAATTCAATTCAGTTTACCTCAAAAATCTATGTGACAAAAATATCGCAAATCATCGGTAGCTTATATTTTTACATTCATCATTTCATTATCTCCTCCCTGTTTGAATTTTCTAGGTATTTTTTGGATTTAGATTTGTTGAAGAAATGAGATTTTAAATTTTTGGATTTAAGAGTTTGTTGGAGAAATGAGATTTTAAGTTGTTGATTTAGGAGTTTTTTGAATTCTGGATTTATTGGTGTTTATTTTGATTTCAAAAAAAATTGTGTTTATGGTGATTTGAAGAGATGGCGTGGAAGAAAATAGAAGATTGAAGCAGGAGAAAGATTTGAAGAAAATGTGTTTTCTTGATTAATTTTTTTGTTAATATATATTCATTTATTTTAAAAAGTTTAGATATTTGAAGATTTGTAATTAGTTATTCATTTATTTTGGAGAAGATTTATTAATATTTTTTTTTTGTTAATATATATCCTGTATTGAAGAGATTTAAAGATTTGTAAATTTGTAATTATTTATTTATTTATTTTGGAGAAGATTTGTGAATATATATTTATTTTTTGTTAATATATATTTATGTATGGAAGAGATTTAAATATTTATAGATTTGTAATTATTTATTCATTTATTTTGGAGAAAATTTGTGAATATTTATTTATTTTTTGTTAATATAAGATTGGAAGATTTTTAATATATATTCATTTTTTTGTTAAAAGATTAGAAGATTAAAACATATTATTTATATCAATATTGCTGAGTTACTATTTTAAGTATTGTTTTGTTGTCTTGCCACATTATTAGAAGTTAACGTTTTTTTTAAGATTTAATGGAAATGATTAAGTTGGGTAACATAACTCTTTTTGAAAAATTAAATTGTAATATTTATTATATAAAAGATTAAAGTGAAACTTGAAATTAAGTTAAAGGATTTTCTAATTAAGTTTTTCATATATTTAAAAGATTGAAATTATATTTTATTTTAAGAAAGTGACACATCAAACGCAGTGATGCCTCATGTGTTTTAAGTTTTTCAAAATTATTTTGGAATATTTTTTATTTTTAAGAATGTTGTTTACCCATAATTTTTCTCAATGTTATTCTCATATTTAAAAGGATAAAAATCTAATATTTTCATGAAAATAAAATTCAATTAACTTTAATTTTTCACTCCTACTTACACTAATTTTTATTTTTATTTTTTTAATAATTTTTAAATTACATAAATTTTATAAACATTTCTAAAACATTTAATTTTTGATCAAACACAAACACATGAAAATATTATTTCTTTAAATAATAATCTCAAAATATAATTTCAGAATGTTATTTCATAACATACGTGAAGAAAATCAATATATTGAGTGTAATACTGAGTAAAGATATTATTTCAATCTTTTAGGTTGGATTTGTTTCAAATTAAAAAATATCACACTCTTATATAAGTGTTTGGCCAAAAATTATATCTCTCAAGAATTTGAGAACAATTTTTATAAATTGTAAAAAATATATATAAAATTATTTTTAGATAGAAATAATATGCTTGATCAATGCTCGAATCTTTATTGTACAAGTCAGATTAATCAATTTACTAATTGGATTAGAAATTGATACAAAAACCCAAACAAAAAAAATTAACATGAAATTATTTCGTTTCAAATGCTACATTTTCGAAAATATACTTCCAATCCTTGAATGTTGTTTAGAAATTTGGAAGAAAAAGTAGATAAAGACTTAAAAAAGGTGAAAGATTGAGTGATAAGAATAAAACAATTTTAATTGGTTTTGAATTTATTTGTAAGAAAAAAAGTCCCACTAATTTGAAGAACCTAAAAAATTGTATTGAATAAGAGGTTCAAAAAGTTTTGAATGACTTTAGACAAATAGTTCAAATGTCATTTATGTTATTATTCTAAAAATTAATAATATTGTAATAATAAACACTCGAAAATCTTTTTTTTCAAAAAATATTAAAAGATTTCTCTATATTTTCTTTAAAAAACATTTTTTTGAAGCTCCCCCTCCACTCCCCTCCCAAACAAAGCCATAAGAAAAGAAAATTATTGATAAATTGTCAATTTTGTATTTAGTACATGTCAAAAATATAAAATATCAACGCAGTTACAAAAGGGAACAAAAGTCATTCATAAATAAAGAAAATTATTGAAAAGAGGAATATACTTTGGTCCACCTCGTAGATGCAAATACGTCACTGCAATTAAGAATAAGGAGCAAAATATTTCATCAAATTCAGTACCCTCAGATGTATGCGTTTCTCCTTTTTAATCCTCAATTTACAACATCATTAAGTTCCTCCATTCAGCCCCAAACAATGGAATGTAATGGAATTTTACACTACTTTCGTAATTCAAGCTACAAGATCTCGGTGAACCTCCGAAATGAACTAATAAATAAAAAAGAAACTAAAATCTACTTAACAGTTCAAAATTTAAGAAAACTATAGGGCGGATGGGGATCGCAGATCATCTCCATTTCTCTTGTAGATCTTTCCTCTCTGATAATATCCAAGTAACAAATAATGCTGCTACAAGGGCAACAATTGTTAGAAGAAGTAGAGCATAGCTGAAATCTTCAGTCAGTGAATCGTAAGTCCTAGAAGGAGCAATCTGAGTAAAAAATAGATCTACTCCATAGGCAAAGACGAGGGATGTAGACTCCAATTTGGCGGGCACTGTTAATATACCTCGCAGACCACCTACTTTTAGGGAATGTGTAATATAGGACTGCATAGATTCAAACAAAATGTGTGAATTTCAAGTTAAGTAAATAAGCTTAAAGAGAAGCATGAGTGCCGAGTTGGCTTCAAATGCTTTATCTAACTAGTATGCAAATGCAAGCCACAGCAAGTAAAAGTAGTGCACAAAACGATTTCTCCGTCCTCATTATCATTGACGAGTTCACATAATGGTATACAAGGAACAAGTTATTAAAGTTCGGATTCATTACTGTCTAACTCCCTGGCTACTCCCTCTGGTACACTGAGAAATCAGCCCCCAGAAAAAGAAGGGACAAGGTGTACTATGTATAGTCAAACCAGAAATTTAACACCAAATGCAAGTCAACAGTTACACCAAATCTCAATCATATGATCTAATCATCAATCCAACGGTTCAAAATATGGAGAGAGAAAGTGTGTCATGTAATACTGATTTAGTTTCTAAATTAAAAAGTATTCCTTTAATTTTCCTGTCGTAAAAAAAACTTGCCACTGAGCATACAACGCCACCATTCGGAATAATTAATCAAATAAGTTCCACACATTAAAACCGTGATTTTTATGTAGTAAAGTTTTATCGTGAAAATGTTTTTTATTTATTTGATCCATATTTCTTTTTACTCATTTGATCCATATACATCTCAAAAGGAAACATTATTATCAAATTTCAATTTCAAATTTGTCTCAGTACTTGGTTACAATGATGGAGAATTTTTGAAGCAATGTATAGGTGTTCGATACAAATGGATAACATAAGTATAATTTAGAAAATCAAAATCAAGGATTTCAGCTTTGATTGCTTTATGAAGTTTAATGCGTTTATTAGCACCATGATTCTGCCAAAACTGCTAGATCTTTTTGTCACCACACAGGTCACCGTCGCGGGAATTTTCGGAAGAGCAAGGCAAGAGGCAAAATGAAAGGAGATCAAGTGAGGAAAAGGGAAAAAAAAGTAGAAGAATGGTCAGATCGGCAGGAAGGAACACCAAAGAAGGACATAAGAACGACAGAAAGATTTAAGAAATAATTTAAGTAACTAATAAATCAGTTGACGTGACACATTTTAAGCATTTTTTCCATATTTTTAAACCATTGGACTGGTTAGATTGAATGGTTGAGATTTGGTGTAACTTGGCATGTTATGTACTTGGCATCTAACTATCTAAAGAATAAAGATCACACCCTTCATCCGTTTACAATTTTTTGTCATCCAAAACATGTTCCCCAACCCACCATCCCCTCCCTGACCAGAAGCATTTTGATTTTGTTATAAAAGAAAGAAATATGTCAACTTTCTATTGTTTTTAATCCTTTTTACACTCAATAAATTTCTATTAACAAAATAGCCAAGGGTGTTTTTTTGGCTTGTATCATAACAGGAAAATTCAGATGAAAATATACCTGAGAAATGATTGGCAATGAATCAGTAAGAGGAATAATTCCTTCTTCTTTCTCAGCTTGTGAGGGATTGAGAGTCCGCCGGGGATCCAAAAATCGTTTATCAAGTGCCAAAACCTGCAGTAACAAAACGAAATACAGTAAGAATGTCATTTAGATTGAACTGAAGAATCGAATTAAAATGAGAAAACAGCAGATTGTTTTTTTATCTCAAGTTTTCATAGGGGAAAAACAGCCGTGCAAATAATTCCTACCTGATCACCAATTGTTCCAATAAGAAGCTGCTTAGAGGTTATACCCTTAGCAGTTGAAGTCACTTCGATGGCTTTCACAGAGTGAGTAAAGAAGTATGATTGAGATTTTGCTGAGATTTCTGGCCGATAATAAGAAGAGATGGGCGATGTAAGATTATGCTTCCCAAGAACAAACTTCCAAATATCTTTGTTATCCTGTGAAACATATTTCAGCATGTCACATCAGAATGAACAAGGAATAATCATGCAAAAAAAAAATTAATATAAACAAAAAATAAGTTAGCAAGAAGAATAATCAAATAACAGTACACAAGTTAGCTGACATACCGCCCGAGACTGGTCATAGACCTCAATAACTGACATCTCATGTCTATGAGCCCTGAGATTAAAATAGTGATAGACAACCCAGTTTTCACTAAATACCTACAGAAATAATATTCATGTGATGTGAGAGTCAAATTCATATAATACACCTTTTGAATGAGAAGGTAGCTCAAAAGCTTACAGCGTGAACAGGACCCTGGCAACCATGATGGGTCATGCGATGCAATATGCGACCAGTCACGGTATCAATGATATAGATGACCAACGAAGCCTCCTCAGGGGTTGCTGTTCCGATTTCCCCACTGGCTTTTGGTGCTGCATTTGCGACGAAGAGTATATTCTTTGATATATACTTGTACAGGACATCGTGGTCAGTCATAACTTTTGCTTGAGTATGAACAACCTAGATGAAAGAGTAACACATTTAGGAATAAATGACCATAGACTCGATGAAAGAGAAAGTCATTATAAATTTTAAGCGTGTTGAAAACCTTTAATTGTCATATTATTTGTGATCATTTGTTATATTGAAAGATAGTTACATATACGCTCAAATGACTATGGAAAAACTAAAGGCATACTACTTTGGGAGCATAACCAAACTTAGATATTATGATTGGCAAACATTACACTACTTGATTATTGATAGATCAACATCAAATCAAAAACTTAATTTCATTCTTCACAATTACATTGATTTATTTAAGATAAACCTCCCTCAAGAAACGAGGACCTGTCAAATTATGCACATGTCAAATTATGCACATGTCCATTAAACCAATAGGCATTTTGAATAATGCATGTTTATATAACAGATGGGATATTAATTTTTCTAAAACATAACATGATCTGTATTAGATGAAGTAGAATATAACAAAAAATGTTCTTTTAATTGAAACCTCAAAACCAAGGCACCATACCTCATTTGATTTTCTTGTCACTGTTGCAATAATCTTTTCTGATTCAGATGGGAATACAATTGACCATAAGTCCCTGGATACAAAGCAGTATTCATCCACTGCTTCATGAATGCAATTGCTCTTCAAGGCATGACCTCTAATAACACCATTATCAACCTCAACAGAGTACCAGTATACATTTGAAAACTCACGTTTCAGAATCTCAATAGCTTCAGGAGTTCTTGGGTATAAATATGCATGCTTGTTTATGTCTATAATAAGATGCAGACGCTGTTCAGTTGAATCAGTATAAGGCAGTGGAATAACTCGAGCAACAGTATGAGCAAGACTCAGAGAATTGAGTTCCTTCCCTGTGTACGCATCAAGGAAAGAAAGAACAGTTGGTGCACTCAAACTTGGTGCACATCGCCCAATGACAAGAATAGATGGATTCTCATCCAGTGCATGATGATGCGGAACCTGCCATTGATAAATGTTAAGCCCAACTGGGTGTTCACACTCCTCTGATTTACGCAGAGTATGAAGCGCCGTAGACCAAACTACATGTCCATCCCCAGTATGCAAAGCAAAAACCTTTCCTGCCCTTGTAAGCACTATAAGCAATTTACGAAAACCATTATGGTCACGAGTCATTTTGCTTTTCTCAGAACTCCTCAACCTAAGCTTTTGAATAGCTACTTTATCCTCAGGGCTTGCAATCATTAGAGTTCCTTTGAGTTTCAGCACATGTCCCTTTCAATAAAAAATTGTCACATGAAAGAACCGGTATTAGAGCAGTAGTTAATGATATCCACATAAAAGTCATAATAATTTTAACAATGAAACAACAGAATATACATATAAAGACATATCAAGTGGAAATGTGAGAGGATCTAATCTTGATGACCACACAACCATCCAGTAACAGTCAAGGTTGTTTGCTTCAATACAATCTTCAGCGTACATTTATGTTGTATGGTCAAGATTAATTCTTCTAATGAGATATACTCTCACTTGACACACACAAACACACATGTATGCATAAAAAAAAGGCAGTATCATGTCCTTATTACACAAATCAAGGGCATACCTTAAGCCATTCGAATAGGTTCTGTTCTACTTTTGCCACAGATACACCATCTTTTTCCACAGGTAGTTCTGATGTTGTTACATCAACAACTGAGGCGAGACCATCCTCTCTACTCCAGACAATTTCTCCTTGTTGAACTAATAGAAGTGAATGATCCTCCATTACCATCAATGCTCTGAACCCATGAGATCTATCTGTCCTGACATAATTGTTTATGAATATCTTCTCAATATTTCCTCTTTGATAGTCTACTACCAGGTCTTCCTTTAGCAAATCACCATTCCAATCATTAACATCCTTTACAGATAGGTGGATTTTATTGTCTTCATATTGAACAAATGCAAAAACATGTTGATTCTCTGAAATTGACAGGGCATTGCTAAAAGCTGCTGCATTATCAATTTTGTCCACCAGCACCAACTCACCTTCAGCAGTCACTTTAATGAAAAGAACGTGGGAATTGATTTTTAATGCGAACAGTCCTGGAAGCCTTGATGGTAGTATTACTGCCTGTCCAGACAAATCCTTGACGAGGTCTGAAATTTGCTTCTGGTTGTAGTTAATATCTCCATTATTAAAGTTTATTGTTACTATCTTTGACCTTGCATCATCCAATACCACAAACTTATCACCTGGGACTGATAACGATTCCCCAGAAGTTCCAAAGGGAAGTGTTATATGATTATTCTTTAGCAACTCTCCATTCTTAGCATTCAATTCATACACGTAAAACTTTGAAGAACCAACAAAACCAGCTACATAGATCACTTCAGGAGACTGAATAATATGGTTAACTTCAATGCTGCAAATATAAGATACAAAACATCAATGGCACTCTTTAGCTTCAAAAATAACATTTGGCATATCAAACTCCAAATCTGTCATACCTCTCACCAGCAAAATCTTTCCTCCAGAGAATTTCACCGTCTATGCCAGAAATGGCATGGAGATACCCTTTACCATAAACAAGAACCAAATCATCTTTGTCAGCTTTCAAATTTTTCTGCAAAAGGTAAGAACTGCAGTTAATTGCATGTCTAAGGAAAGTATCCATGCACTCCCAATTTCAGGTACAACTAAATAAACCAAGGCCAATGAAGGTTATGACAGTAACAGGGGGCCATTGCAGATTCATAAAGATGCCAATGCATACAAAATTAGCCTGCCCCACTATCAACCCACCAAATAAGGGTAGGTAGGTTAGCCCATTTTGAAAAATGGGTTGGTTAAGCGAACCCACGGTTTTATGGCAGTCAACCTGTTTTAACCTAGGAAAATTTAATAAAATGAAGTCATTAAGATGCGAAGCTGAAATTAATAGAGCTTCTGGAAAAAAAATTAATTTAGTGAGATAAGATGTAAAAATGAGAATGAGTAGAAATTAAATTTGGATTAATAAAAAGTTTCAAGTAATAAAAAATGACAATTAATAGTTTTCAAAGACCTGGTAGATCAAATCCCCCGTTCTACCTCCAACTCGGGGGTTAGGAAGAGTGGGGGTATGGAACCTAATCCACCAAAAATGACAGGTAAATAAGCTTAACCGGAAAGGCCAAATCTACTTTCCACCTCTACAGATTCATATGACAGTGCCAGGAAAGAAAAACGGACAGGTGAGAACTGGGTCTGTGAGGAAATTTTAGGGGATTTGGGCTGCGGCACCAAAAACAATGTTAACTTAACGACATATGACAGTGCCAGGAAAGAAAAACGGACAGGTGAGAACTGGGTCTGTGAGGAAATTTTAGGGGATTTGGGCTGCGGCACCAAAAACAATGTTAACTTAACGACCATTTGGCTGAATGAAAGTAGCTTAGTAACCTTGGGCCCTGGGGTTCAGGAATAAAAGATACATACAGTAAAGTAAACGTCACAAAAATTTATCACATTTTTTTCAGAATAAAAGATCAGATAAATTTACCGAACTGTTGAGAAAAAAGAGTAACTTCTAAATGGCTCTATTAGTTTCAGTTTTCACTCAGAGGGTTATTTAGATCTAGAAATCCTAATGAAAAGAAAGACTAAACTCTGTCCGGATCCATCACATCAAATCCCAGAGTTTGGTCCTTAGAATAATTTCCCTTTTCTATTGAATTATATTTCAAAGGTTTATCCGCTTTCAAGCCACCGCTAAGTTTTTCGTTGTTAAGTTTAAGGGAAACGCCTTTATTTGGCCTATGACATAATGATGCCAATGATGATGCTGATGCCAAATATATGCTGCGAGTGAGCAAGGCTAAACAACTATTTGTCCATGACTTTATGTAGTTTGCAAATACGGAAACCACAATCGGGTAATCTTTAAAATGCTTAGTGACATGGAATATGTGGAATAGAATGTTTGCATTTTGCAACTATTGTAGCTTCAAACTTTAAACATCATGTGGGGATTTTTATTAGTTTAAGAGCTTCCAGAGCAACAACAAAAATCTTCTCCGCTAAATGACATCATTCTATATGGAATCTTGATTGAATAATGCCATAACCATGTTAAGTAACCAAGTATTCATATGTTTGAAGGATCAAGAAAATAAAAATACTGTGGTGGTATATTTGCATTACCATGACGCATTTAGCTAGGAAGTAAGGATTAAATCTTTAAGCATCAACTTATGGCACCTTATTTACTAACTCATCCATCGCAATGCATATTAAAGAGGATTTCTTTAGTTATGTTTGAGAGAATTAGAAGGTCTATTGTATTAATTATGTTTCAATTTATGTATCAGTCCTTTTAACAGCTCTGGAGGATGCTCACTTTTTGTATGCATCCTTTACACAACTTTGGAGGATGTTGTACCCTTTATTATCAGATAATGTTTTCTTATCCTTTTTGTGTCATTCTTACTTTACTCAATAATAAACCACAAATCACATTTCATGTGTATATAACAAAAAAGTTATGGTACTCGTCAGAAAAACACTTACTGGAATGTTTAATATTGACTTTGATTCCTTTGATCCCTGAAGGGAAGACTCCCAAACCATCTGCCCATCAGGTAAGTTCCATGCTCTCAATATACTTCCACCAGAGGAAAGAGTAATGACATCTGAAACATTTAAAAGAACACTTATGAACCCATTAATATACAATAAGACTAAATCAAATCTTCATGCAGAAAACAATTCACTCCAACAAAGTAACAACAAACACATAGAAAAGACAAATTAACGAAACTTCAAGATAAGAAAACGCTGAATCTCTGTACTACTGCATAACATTTTTTAATTGTTGCAGTTTGAAACAATGAGACAACAAACCCATGAAATGCCATTGCTTCCCAAGAAGCAGGTAGCCAAACGAGATATTTGGTCAAAACTCAAGACATCTGAAAGTGAAACAATTTGAAGCTAACTTTACTCTTTTACAAGAAAGATGTATTTGACATCTTTAAGCAATTAGAGCGAGACGAGCATCAGAAAGATGCACCTTGTTTATAGATCTGCAATCCCAACACCTTAGTGTGCAACCACATATGAGAATTACAACAGAGAATGCAACAACCAGATTGCATGTGATTATGCATTTATGAGGAAATATATGAGACATATATTGGTGATATTTTGGTCAAGAACTTCTTGTTTGTTCTTCAATTATGATAGCAAACAAAATATGTTTTCAAAGGGAATACACGATTCAAATAACTAAACCGTACAGAAAAAAAAAAAGGGATAGAAAAGGATCACGGTAACAAGAAGAATCCTCAACATTAACATCACATCTCAATGTCGATATATTTTTAGGATAAATTATAAAACTATAGCATAACTTTTGTGCATTACAGTTAATTTAAAGCTAGATAGCATGAAATATCATTTTTCATTATAAGATTCCAAACAAACACAGATTAGGCATAATACATTTTCCAAGGGCAATGTCAATTCCATCAACAACATCATTGGTGCCAAGAACATGCCTCCAAACTGCAAGCAACAAAAACAACATCTTTGGTCATTTTCTAACCAAAACAATAGAAAACAAATAATCAAGCAAGCAAACAATGGTTATTGCTTGGAAACTCTTGATTTACTTTGAAAGCAATTTTGATCATAAGCCATAACAAAAGGTAGCTTCAAACACAATATTACATTTCTAACAACTAAAACTAATATAATTCACTGCAAAAACAGTTGAGCAAATTAGCCATACAAATCTCTCCATGCCGAAGGTCGAGTGAAGCCACAACATTCTCTTCAGTCGACACTAAAACACGCTTCCGCCCAGTCTTCTGAGTATGAAACACAGCATGCTTTACCTTCCCTATATACTGTTGGTGCCTGCAATTAGTAAAATCCAAACATCAGAATCAGAGTAATCGGTTTTTAAGCATAAATTCGATCCAGTTCAAACACAAAACCCTATCAACACATCAACTAGGGTTTAGATTAAGTAGCTAGTATTTCTAACAACATCAACAAGTTTCAAATTAGAAAGAATATCAAGTGAAAATATATCGAGGATTCAGCGCGATCGTAACGACTGAAGAACGAAAACGATTTGAATTATAGGTAAAGTAATTCAAACGAATCGAATTCTCGCGTGATTGAACTCACCAATCCATGAGACCAACTTGATCTTCGTAAATCGAAGAAGCGAGATTGGTTAGCGAGAGAAAGAGAAGAAGGGTGAGAAAAACCCTAATCGCCATGGTGATGGCGATTCAGCCACACGGAAGGATCTGGAGAGTGACTGAGTGAGTGATGAATATTGTTAACCTCGCAGTCCACGGCGTTTTCTAGGATGATAGAAGCCGACTTCTCCCAGAACGCAATGTTTATTTTTTGGGTTAAATTCCGGTTCGTCTAATTAAGGTCGCTTTTAGTATTAAAATAACAGGATTAGGGGTAGTTTAAACTATCAATATTTATTGCCAAAATGGGGGCGTACCCTCGTTGGGATTTTTAATTTAAATAGATTATTTAAATAAATAAACTATCCCACTTTAAAATTATCCTTTTTTAAATGTCTAACTTGAAGTCATATTTAGCATCATACATTAATCGAAAGTCTTCAATGATTTTGGCCGGACTTCAAGATGTTGTCCCATGAAAATTTTAACTCAAATGTTTGGGATCACTTGAAAAAGTACTAAAAAATAAGTGCATTAAATATAATTTTATCATTGAAATATTTCATAGCCTTCTATGAATATGTGTGTTGACCCGACAAGTTAGGGCGTGATGTGTCTTATAGTGCAAGTATATTTGAGTATGTGTGTATCTCTAAGGAGAAATATAATCGTTGATCTCCTAATTCCTCTCTTTAGCTAATCAACGTCATTTAGTTGCCTTCTCCTATAAATGAAGAAGTTGAGTGTTTTAGAAACTTTTTCGCAATCATTGTTATTCATGCTTACTCACTGTCACTTTATTGAGGAACGCTTTCATCTATTATTTCATGACAATAATCATCAGAACGACTATAGTTCCTTAACTAGAGTTTTTGCTCATTATTCGCTTCATTCATCTCACATAACTAGGTACCCACATCAACTTAACTTTTTGATCTTACCGGTTGATCAAAACCTGAGAAATGACCAGAAGATGATTTGTAGTCGGGTTGCGAAGTCGATGAGAAAAAGGGGATTGTACCTGCAAGGCGCTTTGGCGATCAAGTAAGAGTGGGAACAAGAAGGTACAAGCAAAGTATTAAGTAGTGGGTGGTGAATATTGGATACCTGACCCTTACAGGTGTGAGGGTTTATATAATGCCCCTAGCACATGGTCATTGGTTCCTAATTTCACGCCTAGATATGTGGATCTGTGAAATCAGGTAACTGTCAAGACTTGGTCAAACCGGGCAGGTGTGCTCGTAACTAGTCGTTGGTCCCGAGGAGTGGTTGGTTATGGGCATCTCTATGATCGATTCATGGTGGCCTGCACGACGTTGATGTCGGGCAGGATGAGAGGATGCTCGTCAATCGTCCTGGGCCAGTGCTGGTTCAAGAGGGCGAACGGGCAACATGCTCGACAGGTAGCAAGCAATCTGGGTCACGGCCGTACGGGTCGTACCAAGGGAGATGTCTTGGACTGGGTCTAGTCAAGCTGTCGGGCCAATCCAGAACAGTATTCCCCTAAGTCGTTGCTTCTGGGCACAGGAGCGATGACTTTAACATCTTCCTGTTACGCCTTGCTTGTGGGGAGACGAGGCGTTGGTCGTTAGGACTTTTGAATTTGGAGAGGTTGCGTGTTTTGGAAAGTGTAACACCCGTAATTTAATTAATTATTTAATTAAATTATGTTTAGATTATTTGTGAGTTGTATTATGATGATAGATGTTGTGTTGTGATTATTTGAATTAATTTATTCAATTAAGTTGTAGAATATTATTAGAATAACACTACTATTTGATGTGGGCTTATTTTTAATAATTAGAAGTAGTAGAAAGGGGGGTGTAGGAGTTTAAGCCCATTAAGACATAATGAGAGTTATAGTATTATGATATTAGTTATTTAGAAATAATAAGGAAAAAGAAGTAACAGTAAGAAGAAAAGAAAATAAGGGTTGGAAGAGAAAAAGAGAACGTGGAAGTTGTAGAAAATAAGGAAAAGAGGCAAAACGAATTCAATCGGAAAATTATAGAGCAACCTTCAATCCAAGGTAAGGGTGGGGTTCTGACTCTATAATATGATTTATGATAAGTATTATATAGGATTGGGTTTGGAAGAAATTGTTTTATTTGTGATTGATATATATGTATTGTTGTTTGATGAGAAACCAGTGATTTAGAGATGAATAATAATGTCCTAATGCTGTATAATTGATGTAGAAACATAGGATTATCATAAGTGATGATTACCTATGATTAGATTATGTTTTAGGACCTAGGGTAGGGAAATCGCAGTGAAATCACAGAATAAATTCAGCACAAATCAGTATGAGTCGACCTCAAAGGTCATGCATCGACACATGCAGGATTTAAGACTCTGGATGAGTCGATACGGAAGGATCATGCATCGACACATGCAGTGTTTCAGACTCAATATGAGTTGACACAAGAGGTTACACGTCGACTCATGCGGGATTCCAGACCCAGTACGCGTCAACTCAAAGAAGTACGCATCGACTCATGCAGTCCAATTTTTTACAGATTCTTCCAAAGGCTGTAACTTGAGTTTTCGGACTCCGTTTGAGATGTCGTTTGAAGCGTTGGATAGCTAACGCGATGAACTTCATTCATAAGGATTAAAATGAAGGATAAGAAGAATAATCCCAGTACCCAAATTAGAATAGAGCTAGTTTCCCACGTTAATCACTATGATGATTTTGTGAATTATGATGAGGATAAGACGATCTTAGATTATTGCTTGGTTCATGACAGTAAGATTAATAATAATAATAATAATAATGTATTATTGCAGTATAATAACATGTAAAGGTTTAGTAATTAAAGATAAGCATTAGATGAGTGATTAATCGGCATAGTTGAGAATTGTCCGAATATTTATGAGCGATATTAGGTTGTAGGCCTATGGCCAATGTTGAATGGTTGATGACTTGCTGTTGTATTGTGGGTATGGTTAAGTTGCTATGGATTTACGTGGATGAATTATGCTGATGATTTATGTTGATGAATTTTGTTGATGAGTTATGATGAGATGCCTCTAATTATTGGCAGCTATTGAGTTGTAGGCTTTTGGCCAACGATGATTCGTGTTGAGATGTTGTTAGTGGTGGTTGTTGTTACTACATTCATGATTGTGTTGCATACATTGCATATCAAGATGGAGTTGATGATCGTTAAGATGGCCTGTATTGGAGAATATTAAGATGAAGGCTTATGCCTTGTTGATGCCTCTATTTATTGGCAATTATTTTAAGATGGGAGTTCTGCTCCAATGGTACCACATACTGTTGGCTCCCAAATTCGACACTTACTATATTTGGTCTTTTAGACCAAAAAACTGGAATAAACCAAGCCAAGAAGAATGTTCGACGTATGAAACAACTTAGGAAAAAGATCTAAGTTATGTTTGAGCCTTCGACCAGGGCTTACTTTCAGGTCTTTTCGACTGAAGAGGACTTATGTCCTTCGACTGAGAGAAAGTACCTTCACTTTGACACATGATACGAGGGATATTTGAATATTGAATTATTGGAGGGAAAGGCAGTTTCGCCAGCGGCTAAGAAGAAGCAACGTGGTTGAAAGCCATAGGTCGAGGGACATGCAGAAGACACTTGTCTTCATCTTAGCGCAGAATGATCCCTCGACGGTTACTTATTTTTTAGTATAAATTAGGAAACCTGTGTATTTTTTAAAGTGTGTTCAACCTATTGTACTAGTCACTCAAACATTGTCCAAGTAACCGCTGCGTGAGAAAGGATAAAACTGAGAAATATACGTTGGAAATACCTCTTTTTATTAATGAAATTCTTTTACATTGCTTTAATCTTATCTTGCAAAGTTATCTTTTTTGCTTCTTTACTTGCATTTCTACATTCCTGCCTACTTTTCCAAAATCTCAAACATCTCTTCTCTGGGTCGAACGTGCATTCTTCCTGATTATCTGTCTTACATAAAAATTAGCATATGTTATGGGATTAATCTGATTGATCCCGTAAGTAAAACAAAAAGAACTTTCCTTTTTGGAGATAAGCTCTTGTTTACCAAAAACCACGATAAACAAATTGGCACACCCGGTGGGACGTTGCTAATTTTTATTAAAAAATCTTGTTTATGTTATTGTGTTTTTTCCTGTACAGTTATAAAGTTGCATGTTATTAAGAAGTGGTAGAGTAACCAACGAGTATACTGTTAGGAGGAAAGATAGCGAGAGTAGTATGGCTAATGAGCCAAATCATGGAGAAATACCTCCACCAGTCACAGGAACAGTGGTTACTACTGTTGTCGAAGAGAATATCCCAACTTCCGTTGGATCAATACCAACGCTAACCACAAATCAAACCGGACCCTTACTTTCTTATGTAGGTCCAAGAGGTCCATTAGGAACGCCTCCACCAAGGGTAAACCTAGGATCTCGATCATTTGTTCCCCCAGGATTTTCGACAACCTGGATGGGTCGAGAACAGCCATATGGCATGCCAACTACTGAAATGGCTAGCCTTATGAATGTTATTTCCACTTTTTCAGAACCTTTGGTGAATACAACATCGCCATTACAGGGGTCTGGAGCCAGTCGAAACCAATTCTTAGGAGGGCCATCTCATACAATACCTAGCCTCACAAATGTTTCGACAGCGGTTTTGAGGCAACAGATGGACGAAAGTAATCATGATATGGTACAAATGTTAGCACAAACTCTAAGTACAGTGCTAAATCCCCTCATTCAGACTGCTACGCAGTTGAATCAACAGATGACAGCACAAATGACACGCATGGCTGAATTCTTTGGGGTACCCCAAGTTGTTCGACAACCCCAGAGAATACCAATAAGAGCAAATCAAGGGGTGATCATGGAAGAGGATTTGACCGTTAATCCAAACCCCCAGATTCCTAGAACAGAAATAGAACAACCAAGGGTTAAAGTGCCAAGAAACCCTAGAGAAATCGATCAAGGAGTTATTATGGCTAATAGAAACCAAAACGTTGACGAGTTAATACAACAAGTTTGACACCAGAACTATGGGACGGACAATAATCTAACTGCCATGATCGAAAGAATTATGATTCAAAACGGGATGAACGTTG